TCACGGCGCCATGGCGCCGCCGCCCTTCGGCGTGGAGCCCGAGGCGGCCATGCCCGGCCTCGGCACGCCCCCACCCCCGGGCCCGGGAGCGTCGAGGAGCGAGGGGGGCTCGAGGATCGAGGGAGGGTCGAGGATCGAGGGGACATGGTCGAGGATCGAGGGGACATGGTCGAGGAGATCGAGGGAGGGTCGAGGATCGGGGAGGCTCGAGGGCCGAGGCCCGAGGATCGAGAGGGTCGAGGATCCCGAGGCTCGAGGAGCGGGGAGGAGCGAGGAGGGTCGAGGAGCGTCGAGGGAGGGTCGAAGGCCGAGGGAGGATCGAGGGCATGAGGTCGAGGGTCGAGGATATCGAGGCGGCCATGCCCGGCCTCGGCAGGCCCCCCAGCCCGGGCGGCCCGGCGGGCAGCCCGCCGCCCTCGAGCGGCCAGCCACGACCCCGGACAGCTGGCGTCTCGGAGCAGCTCGGGACGGAGGGCTCCCAGAGACGCCCCGAGACCCAGAGATCCAACGTATTGAAACAATCAGGACGGAGGTTCTTCTAAACTTTCGGCCTCCGGGGGCCCTTACCGGGCCTCGGGACCGTCAGAAAACGACGCAGGAGGAAAAACCGGTCCCGGGGAAGGGGTCGGGACTTCCAGGGACGCCGTCCTGAAAAGATCACGGCGTCGGATCTCTGGGGATCCTGGCGTTGCAGTTTTTTCACACCACGGGGTTCTCGCCCAATGGCGGGCCCCGGAGCCTGATCGCAGACCGATCCGGCTCGAAAAATTGCACAGAAAGACGGGGTCCGGGGCTCCGGGCGCGATTTTTCGCGATGTTGCAATGATCGCGCCGTAAACAAAAATCAGAACGCATTCGCTCCGCCGTTTGTTCGGTGGGCCCAAAACGGAGGTCCAGCTGAAAAGGGGGTGGTGCAATAGATGTGGGGCAGTCGTATTACAAATGTATTGCACCAGAGAGTTGTTTTTTTCATTGTATTGCAGCTAACGCATTGCACGCGAAAATCAAGCAATACGCTTGCGCACCAGAATGTATTGCTCGCCTCATATCTGTTGCAACTCCACAAATCTATTGCACCACCCCCTTTCAGCTGGATCCCCTTTCTGGGTGAACCAAAGTTTTTGGCCTATGGAGGCCTTCGCCGGGCCCGGGACCGTCGAAGAACGATGAAAAACCGGTCCTGGGAAAAGGATCGGGACTTGGACCGCGTGTTGGAAGAATCGGGACGTGTCTGGATGTTCGTCTTCCTTGTCCTTTCTCTTGCCCTCCTCCTTGTCCTCCTCCGCCTCCTCTTCCCCCTCCCTCTCCCACTCCCCAAAGATAGCCCGTTGTATTTTCGACCCTATCTTAACTTGCCTGCACCGCCGCTGCAACCGCAAAGCGGAGGCTCCCGCGAGTACTCGGTCTGTCGTTTTTCTTCGCCTACGCGCTACGGCGTATGGCATGACTGGGACTGACGGAGATTTGTCATCGTCTTCGGCGTCTCGGAGCCCTCACCCAGGCCTGCAAGCCGTCAAAACATAGCTCGGGACGAAAAGCCGGTCCCAGGGAAGTGGTCGAGAGGTCGGGGGCCCGTGTCTCGAAAAAAACGAGAAGCCTGGGGACTGGGGGCCCCCCTCCCAGACCCCCCGACGTCATGATTTTTCCATGACGCGACCCCCAGAAGTCCAGACCCTTTTCCTATGACCGGCTTTGCATCCCGAGTCGTTTTTTGACGGTCCCGAGGCCCGGTGAGGGCCCTCAGAGGCCGAAAATAGCGCAAAACCTCCCGTCGTGTTTTTTTCGTGACTCGAGGAGGTCTGGGCTGGTGGAGCCCGTCGCATCGACGGCCTCTCTAACACTGGCATAAACATAAACATGACAACTCGGAGGTCCGCGCGGACTTCTCGGAGCCGCGCTGGGGCCCCCTGGCGGCGCCTCCAGCGCCGCCCCGGGCGCGCTCCGCGCGCCAGGGAGGGGGGGCCCAGCGCCGATCCGAGCAATCCGCGCGGACCTCTGAGTTTTTTTTTTTTTTTTGTTAAATGTCATTCTTCGCTCCCCTGTCATATGGACAGGCCCGTTCCACTACTCGCACATCGACTGCTCGCAAATTGCCTGGATGCGCCGCGGGGGATTCACGAGATACCACCGAGAGGAAGGCATGTTTTTCTCTCGCACGTTTGTGAGTAGGCGCTCTGCAAGTAATGGAACGCGCTCGGCGATCATAGGACCACGGCCCCTAGGTTTATAGGACCACGGCTCCCTAGATTTACAAGACCGTGCACGCGCTCGATATTTTCAGGACGGCGTCCCTGGAAGCCCCGACCCTTTCCCCGGGACCGGTTCTTCCTCCTGAGTCGTTTTCTGACGGTCCCGAGGCCCAGCGAGGGCCCCCTAGGGCCGAAAATCGCCCCAAGCCTCCCGCCCTGGCTCTGTCTACGGCGCGACCATATGTCTGGGCCTCCTTCACCCCCGGACTTCTGGCGAGGACCGCGGCTCCCGGGCGCGTGGCCGGCCTGCCTTCGCCAGCATCGCCATGGCCGCAGCCCGCGGGTCGGCCCCGGGCGGGGGCAGCCCCGGGAGCGTCAGGCCCAGCCCGAGCCCCGGCATGCTGCCGGCCAGCGCGGCCATGGCCGCCGCCTTCGGGTCCGCGCCCGGGGGCGGCAGGCCGGGCAGGCCCGCCTGGCGGCCACGCAGACATGTGCAGCGGGGAGGCCATGCCACACGCAGACAGGAGCGCGTCGCAAGAAAGAAAATCTGGACGGGAGGTCTCTGGCTATTTTCGGCCCCGGGGGGCCCTCGCCGGGCCTCGGGGCCGTCAAGGAACGACTCAGGAGGAAGAACCCGTCCCCGGAAAAGGGTCGGGACTTCCCGGGACGCCGTCCTTAAAAAAATCAGGACGTCGCACGTCTGGGCAAGAAACCTTCCACAAGAAACCCAGCCCTCTGAGACCCCAGGACGTCGATTGGTTCTTGGCGTGGGAACGTGACGCTCTCCATCGCAAAACCATCGAAACCCAAGAAACCCAGGGCACCCTGCAGGCAAGCAGGGTGTTCCTTAGCATGGGTCTCCACTGTGTGCACAGACGCCCGCCGACGAGTGATCCTTCCACCTTACAAGGAACGGTGAGCGGGTGCAGAGTCGCTGGCCCGCAGTGGTGGCTTGTACACCGCCGCCCTCCCTTCATGAGGCCCAGGGCACACCCACTGGAGGGCGCCTGGGAATGTACAATCAACATATACATCCATATGTATGTATGTATGTATGTATGTATGTATGTATGTATGTATGGATGGATGGATGGATGGATGGATGGATGGATGGATGTACGCATGTGTGTATGTGTAGATATGTATGTTGTATGTATGCATGCATGTATGTATATGTATGCATGTACGTATGTATGGTTGCACGTATGTGCGTATGTACGTATGCATATATGCATGTATGCATGTATGTACGCATGTTCGTATGTATGCATGCATGCGTGAATGTGTATGTGTACATGCATGTATGCATGTATGCATGCATGTGTATATGTATGCATGCATGTATGTATGTATGTAGGTAGGTAGGTAGGTAGGTAGGTAGGTAGGTATATATGGATGTATGCATGTATGTATGTCTGTCTGTCTGTCTGTCTGTCTGTCTGTCTGTCTGTCTGTATGTATGTATGTATGTATGTATGTATGTGTATGTGTGTATGTGTGTATGTATGTAGATACGTACGTATGTATGGATTGCTCGACGCATATAGGTATGTATGTGTAGGTATGTATGTGTATGTATGTATGGATGTACGTATGCATACATGGATGTATGAATGTATGAATATATGGATGTATGCATGTATGTATGCAGGTATGTATGTATGTATGCCTACGTATATGCATGTATGTATGTGTGTATGCATGTATGTGTGTATGTCTGTCTGTCTGTCTGTCTGTCTGTCTGTCTGTCTGTCTGTCTGTCTGTCTGTCTGTCTCTGTAGGTAGGTAGGTAGGTAGGTAGGTAGGTAGGTAGGTAGGTAGGTAGGTATTTGTGTGTACATATATATACCTATGTATATAAATACATGTGTATTGCTCCTTCTCTCTCTCTCTCTTCGTGGCGGGCCGCCCCTGCCTTGCCGAGCGGCGGCATGCCAGGCAGCCCGAGCAGGCCCGGCAGGGACGGGAGCCCAGCCGCCTTGCCGAATTGCGGCATGCCCGGCATGCCCGGCAGCCCCAGCAGCCCGGCGGGCGCGGTGCCGGCGCCGGCGCCGGGAGCCGTGCCGCCTTGGCCGGGCAGGCCGAGCAGGCCAGGCAGCTTGTCGGGGAACGAAGAACGACATACCCTGAGATCCTGGCGTTGCAATTTTCTTGCAACGGGCGTTTTCGCTTAATTTCGGGCCCCGGGACCCTCACAGATCGATCGGGCTCG